GTCCTGATATTCAAATTATGCAAGGAAACCCGTTTATTTACTAGACTTCACTGTCAGACACTATTGAGTGACTGACTGGCTTTTTTCTTCTTTGGTACATAAAATGAGCTGTAAAGGGTCCATGAGCATTTGTCTACATCAATAACTCACTTCTTGTAATGGCCAAAATTAAACCGATTGAATATTTGCGCAGCATAAAACGTATGACCATTCGGTACAATGGTCTGAAAATCAAGACTATTACTTATTGGCTCTATAGCTCCTTAGTCGATTTGACAACTAATAGTCGTCATTTTCCCACTTCAGCAAGTACATTGTAGGTCCCTCTTATGAATTGGTACTGCCAGACATTTCTTCTTCTTCTTCTTCTTTTTTTTTTTGGGGGGGGGGGGGGGGTGTATTCTGATATTAAGGGAAGGCTGCCGTAGAAGAAATGATGCAGAAAAATTAAAGAGTATCTGGTTGAATGAAACCTAGTGGAAAATGTTAAACATTACATACGGTAGGTAGTATGATTATAAGTTAATCACCTCAAGTCAGACTTTTTATTCTTTGTCTAATTATGGCTCGACGAAAGTTGGATATTTTTAACCCAAAGCAATTGAAATAAAAGTTGGCAATGACATATTTTGTTTTACTTGGCTACTGTATGTACATGTATATTCATTTAGGGCACCTTTAGCCTCAAAAGGCACATGTTTTGCCTTCCACCTGCTCAATATTGGCCGTACGTGTATGTACTCTCAAATATTCATGCATCATGCGAGATTGTATTGCAGATGACAGCATTACATTAAACCGTGGCTGCTGAAAAATTCATGTACGATGATGAAAAGCAAGGTATCGGTTAACTCAGACGTGAGAATATTTATCTCCCCAAGTCGTAAAGGCAAACCTACTTCACACCCTCTTCAAACCTACTGATTCTTAGCCATGTAAAGTTATGCTTGATGTAAGACTGGTGTTGTATTCTGAAAAGGATTTGATCGTTTATGTTCAATTTAGAGTGTGGTTGTTAATTGTACCTGACTGCTGAGAAGCATAATAGTATAAAGCAATTGTTAAATTTCTAATTATCATGGCAAATCAAAATTTGTATACACTGTAAGTCGTTGGTTAATGTCTGCACAAAGTTTAAGAGTAAGTGTAAGTTATGCACCATTTGAGTTTGTTAGACAATTAACATTACTACTTTCCCTAACCTGAAAAGATTCAGGATATGGCCCCTGGTGTCAAGGATGTGGCTCCTGCCCCCGTTACCCTGATAACAGACAGGTGAATTGTCCATGATAACAGGGTCTTCATCTGAAGAAGATGAGGTAAAGAGAACAGAATTGTGTCTGTCTACATAATGAAAAAGTGGAGGACAAGAATAATCAAGATTTCTATTCATTCCTATCTTGTTCTCCAGACGTAATTATCAATTCCAGGTATTATTTCTAGTAGAATATGTTCCACAAGCTTTGTCATCATTATCAAAACTCGTTTATTTCTCTAAAATATCATCAAAACAAATAAAAATATATGGAAGAACTGTAATGTGTGCTTGGTAATACCCTCAGTCAACATATAAATCAGTATTTCTAGGCCATTTTTTAAATTTTCCCTCTTGGTTGAAAAAGCCCTCGCATTTTACGGATGATTCCTAATTGAGGATTATTTGTCTCTATAGAGCGAGTTTCATGTCCTAGCTTTTTAAATGTCACTGTCTGAAACATTGAAGACCCATTTGCCATGGGTATATGGTTCAATGGTAGCCTCGTCTGTCTGTTTACCTCAAGGTTCTCTATCTAGCACTAATGAAAGGAGAAGAAGATGGGCGTGTCACTCGAGGGCAAGCATGCACTTCCTTTTCAATGCATGGATCAGAGCATGGTGTAATGCTTTAATACACAGTACAGCTTAGGATGGGCTGAATTAGAATCCTCAAACAGTAGTGCTAAATGTAGCAGGCCTTCATGTACACATACATCATATCATTAACGTAGCTCCATGCAAAGAACCGATTACCTGTACCGAGTAACAACTAAATTATTCATACCCCTTGTAAATTTGATGTTTTGGGGGTGTTTTTTTGTCACTCAAGAATGAAAATGGACTGGTTGAATCAGAGCCTTTGTTATATACAGATTTAAGCTATTTCACATGCTCACGAAACATAAATCAGGAAAATTCATTTGTTTTCACATTTAAAATTACAAAACTCGGTTTAAAGGTTATAATTCCTGATTCGTATACATTTTGTTGTTGTTGATCATGTAGTACATCACGTTTGCTTGTCGTTCAGGTTACTGGTTCTAAACAACAGAGCCTGTGCATGAGGTTCACAGTGAAATCATTGAAGCAACGGGTTTGAGCAGGGCAAATTCAGTGTTTGGCGCTGGTTGTGCACAGCCTTAGTGTGACCACCATGTAAATTGTTTGGAACCAGCAACCTTGCCAACTTGGCCAGTCTATAATGACACACTTCAGTACTCTATTTCAGATCTCTTTTCTTTTTTCCACTGAACTGTGTCAGGCATGCATTTTCGGCACCTGCTGTTCACAGTAGTACAGTATGATTGCAAGTACACTCCATAGATTGTCTGCTTCAAGTATTTGTTGATGAATGGCTATGGTTCATTAATCTCAATCAAAACAGGTAAACGACCGACCCTGGTAATCCAACAAATAGAGGAATCTGTTTATGATGTACAAGTACGTGTATACCCTCTAATAGTGATGGCAGACGGAGAGATTCATATCATTATACAAGTTCAAGGTCCTTTCATTCGTGCAGGAGATATGTTACAACTCACTCATCTCTGTATACGAGGAATATTGATTCTCGGCAACTGTTTACATCCATATTTAGAAGCGTTTTGTGCATGGCCTTGACACGATTGATCCGGAAGCAAGATGCAAATGCTGAATTCAGATACAAATATAAATTTCTCACAATAAATGTACATTTTCTATGTATGGGGCCACAAGGTCGCTAACTCATAATATGCTTCAACACAGAGTTAACGCCCTTTGGTTCTGAACAGATGTTTTGTTATCCTCCCTCTTTCTTTCTTTTAATTTTTTTAATATTTTTTTTACTGTATGCTTGTAATGTATTTCTTTCAATATACTGCACACAGTTAATGTGCATTGAGATTTGTGTCCTGTACAATTTCACATCAATATCAAATTTGGTTAAATATTTTTTTTGAATGGAATATTATTTCAGGAACTTCATATTATGGCTATATAGGCATTTAATGAATGTTTGCATGTAAAGTAATCATACCAAGTGAAGCATCGATTCATGCATCCTGACTGCTACAAGTTTAAATAGATCCAGCTCAAAAGATGACATTTTATGACATTGAATACCAAATATTTCTCAGTTGAATGGATGCATCTAATACGATATACGATGTACTCCAGTTTGCACAGGCAGGATTGGCAAATATGCGGAAGGCAGTGCCTGTAGACAATTTATTGCTGATCAAATGCTTGTAACGATTTCATGGTATAGCTGATTACACACGCTCAGGCAAATTTATAATCTCAGGGGGAAAAGAGGTACATAGAGGGGAAGGGGGGGGGGGTCAAGGGAGAGAGAAAGAGATGGAGATTGATGTGGATGGATGGAGAGATGGATGAAAATATGAGAGTGAGAGGACCGAGGTTGTAAAAATGGGTGTAGTTTGATTTTGTGATTGCGGTCTGTGAGGCAAGAGAATAATAGCATTTCAAAAATTATGAAATTTATGTTTAGAGAACGTGAAACTGAAAGTAATTACTTTTTCATCAGCAGAGATTTAGACTTTGCTAAATTGTCATTGACATGTAATGTGATGTACAGTACGTGTGTGCATGCAGACATTTGTTTTTACATTGTAATGAGGCTTGCATCGACAGAGCTCCAGTGTTATCCATAGCCATCAGTGCAGAAAATATTAATATTTTGTTCTCACTGAAATACATTCAATTTTGGAGCTTGCTAAATAAATGCCAATGCAAGTGGTTAACACTTGAAGTTGCCCTCTACATAACCTGCACAAATATTCTCATAGACTGATAATTGTTGTATCACCCTGTAGAGAGCATGTTTTTTTGACAATGTGCTTTTACCCGGGAGGTCAAGAGGTCAAAACCATACCATAATATTTGCTGAGATCCAGAAGGGCCCTATAACCCTTATCCACAGAGTAAACACCCTTCTGGCTCTCAACAGATAATATTCTATCATGTATGAATACTGTATGACACCAGTGTGTACAAAGTGTATTATGGCCCATCGTTGATATGTAAACGATTAGCCCGAGTCTGCCAACAGACCTCTTGATTGGGTTACCGGTATTCTCTAGAGTCCTTAGTGATCCTGAGTAGCCTATGGCAAATATTTATTGAGGCCAATAAAAAAATTATGAAAGCAAATGAGTGTATACTTTACTTTTCACTGTAAGAAAAGATCATCTGGTGTTCTATGTTTGTGTTATTATTATTTGCATTGCTCTGAATTAAATGCACAATGTGATGGGTATTAAATAAATAAGTTTGTTTACTTTCCACACTAACCACAGCAATAAAAACACCAAAGTGTACATATTCAGAAAGGGTTATCATCTGCAAGGTTAAGTTAAAACATTAAATGGAAGAAAGTTACTCATGTGCATTTACGAGTGACAACATTTTTATTTAGAAAAATTTGTTAAACAGAGACCTGTGTGCCATTTTCTTTAATTATCCCTGTTCATATTTTGTTCACACCATGACAAAACACTGTCGACAACTAAAACCATACGTGTAATCAGTGCTTTATATTGACTACTCATGGTGATAGTACACATGTAAACATTTGAAAACAATATATGTGAATATAAGGAGCTTGCCATTCTTAGATATTGAATTAAATACTCTCTGAACAAAACATATATGTATTTTACTTTATTAGATGAGAAGGAGGGTCTATTTTATAAGTAATTGATGTAGATAATAAACAATTTTTTTATCATTCTATCTTCCAGGCTCTGAAGGTTTGACATCCAGGGTTGTGCGAAGCAACCGTGTGTTAAAGGACAACCAGGTGGTTCAAGAGTCTTCAGCCGAAGGGTCACCACCACCAACCTCAGAATGGATGGGAATGGCTCTGAACTTATGGACGGAGAGGACAAATGCTCCGCCCTTGGTCTCATCCTCCCTCTGACCGACGAGTCGGGATGGAACCACGGCTTCCGAGCCTTCATCTACCTGCTCGGTCTCCTCTGGAGCTTCATGGGCGTGGCCATCATCGCCGACATCTTCATGTGCGCCATCGAGGTCATCACCAGTATGACCAAGAAGCTCAAGATCGTCAACAACGCCGGTGAGGTGGAAGAGGTCGAAATCCGCGTCTGGAACGACACAGTAGCCAACCTCACCCTCATGGCTTTGGGGTCCAGCGCCCCGGAGATCTTACTCTCCGTTATTGAGATCGCAGGAAACGGGTTCCAGTCGGGACCCCTGGGACCGAGCACCATCGTCGGGTCGGCCGCCTTCAACTTACTCATTATCACTGCTGTTTGCATCATGGGTATACCCGAAGGGGAGACGAGACGAATCAAGAGGATAAAAGTGTTTGCTGTCACAACAAGTTTCTCTCTTTTTGCGTACATCTGGTTATACATCGCTCTTCAGGTAAGTTTTATTAAAGCTACAGTGTAGGAACACTACATGCTCGGTCTTTTCTTTTTAAAAAGGGATCCTTTTTTGTTGTTGTTTATATTGATATTCGCTATTGATATTCGCTAGTTGGTGGTATTTCTGTCTTTCTGTGTTCATTTCTATGCTCCTTAAGCCCCAGTCCCATATAAAGCCGGACCAGCACGGACGAGCACGGACCACTCCGGACCATCCCGGACCATGGTCTGGGGTGATCCGGGATGGTCCGGGATGTTTTGTTCAAAAAAGTGTGATGCTTTTAAGCTACAGTCCCATATACGTCCCGGACCGTCCCGGACCATCCCGGACCCCATCCGGGGTGATCCGGGATTCGGTCCGTGTTGACACCGTGTTGGCACCGGGGTGGTCCTGGATGGTCCTGGATGGTCCTGGATGGTCCTGGGCGGTCAATAACTCACTCCCGGACTGCCACGGATCAACACGGACCGCCCCGGCGCCACTACGGATGACCCCGGACCCAGCACGGTGGCTACACGGATCACCCCGGATCAAACTATTGTCCCGGACCGTCCCGGACCACCCCGGCAGTTTTTGACCGTCAAAAACATCCGGGGTCGACTCCCGGACCGCCCAGGACCATCCAGGACCATCCAGGACCATCCAGGACCATCCAGGACCATCCAGGACCATCCAGGACCACCCCGGTGCCAACACGGTGTCAACACGGACCGAATCCCGGATCACCCCGGATGGGGTCCGGGATGGTCCGGGACGGTCCGGGACGTATATGGGACTGTAGCTTTATTTCTTTGCCTTGAAATTAAAAAGGATACTACCAGATGCATATTACTATATATTCATTGTAAGATTTAAAATGAACCAGTTATAGTTGAGCCCCCCCCCCCCCCCCCGATTTGAATCTCCCTACCACATTAGTTACCCATTTACACCAGGGGGAGGGTGGCAAATGTGAATTAAATTTCTCATCCTCCCGAACAAAGAGTCCTTTGCGAAAAAGCCTATTAAAACACGATACCTGGACACATTTACTCGTAACGGATCCAAACCTGACTGAAGTGTTTTTTCAGGAATTCCTCTAACTAGCGCAAACTTGATTCTCTACTGATGGGACTAAAGATATACTTTTGTTTGCATTGCAGGTTAGTTCGCCCAATGAAGTGGAACTCTGGGAAGCAGTGTTAACCTTCATCTGTTTCCCTCTCCTCGTTGTCGGGGCCTACATCATCGACAAAGAATTCTGCGGGAAGAAAGAGCATGAACAAGACATGGAGCTCGGTCTCGGTAAGATTTCAAAACAAATTCTTAAAGTCTGTAGCTTTTAATAAGACAGAATCAAAGTGGACGAGAAACTTTTGTTTGTATCTATAAAACAAAACTAACATTTGTGATATCAACCAGTCAAAGTATTTATTCACGCAACAAGCCCTTTATTAAATTGATTTGACCTGATAAGCAGATTTTTAACCAATCCAACTTTTTGTTATTTGATGACCTTGCATCGCAGTTATATAATATAATGAAAATTATTTTGTTTTGCCTTATTTCCAACATTCCCTAAACAGAGATTGCATCCGCCAGCTACGACACGGTTCCAGGATCAAGTAGATGTATGCAAAACAAAATTAACAATATAAACACAAAACGTATAGACAATGTTTATCTGATGATTTCCTTCTTTCTGATATTAATTAATTGAATCCTTTTTCTTCAGTTACTAGTCCTTTCTGAGGTGGAGTTTACGTGGGTGATCTTGAGATTAATCACAGGTTATAAAGCCTTGTAATTGAAATTGGAAGAGTCTGAAGTATTCAGTTTAGTTTTCTTTCATTCTATTATAGAGAGACAGATTGAATACGAGATGACCTGTCATCAAAGTCTATTAATGTTTCAATGATTTATAATATTTCCTTCTTTTGTAATTATAACCCTTGGTCTTTTGGTATAAAGTTCTTTATTAACTTATATATATATATATCTGGAAAGTATTTTTGCTTATTCTTTAAAACTGTCATGTACATGTATATGCTTCTAAAAAGCAACAAACCGGTAGTGCATATATCTACCACCACACCTCCTTTCTAATATGAAATACATGCACTGAGCAATAACATAGTTACTTGTAACAATTTCAAAGCTTTGCATATTATTTCATGGTCCTGTATTACAGTTTATTTCTTGAGGGAAGAATAAAAAAATTGTTTGTTTTTTCCTAATTTCCAACTTTTCTTCAAACAGCTTTTTCTACCAAATATGGCACTCTACCTGGATCAAAGAGATGTATGCATGAAAAAATAACACAACAATAATACTAATGATAGTTTTTTAATTTCATAGCATTTGTCTAGATCTTACTCATTTCTAGATACATCAAGTGTTGCACACGTGACGACAATAACGACATTAGGAGTACATTGTAGCAGAACTGTCATTGTTGAAGTACCTTTTGTTGTTTTTGTTATTTTTGTTTAGAAATGTAGTTTTATTCGAGTAACAAAACTATGTTTCATATATCACAGATTAGAGAATGTGGATAGCGTAATACTGCATCAGTATTTGATATCATTACTTATACATTGTAGAGAATAGCAAAAGTTAGCGGTTGCAGACATCTTTGTAATATACTTAAATGTTATTAATGTTAGAGAGAGAGAGAGAGAGAGAAACACAGACACAAAAATGAAAAAGTTCTGTAGTTAATGGATGAAAGAATGCAATATGTTCGTGAAAAGAAGTTGCACTACACCGTTCTAGAATTTCTTCTCGGCTCTTCTCGGTTTCCAAGGCTGTAACTAAACAGATCTCTCAAGGCTGTCATAGCTGCCACATGGAGACACAAACACTGAAGTGCCCCACACTTGTAGTTGTATTGTATCCAATGTTTGAACAAGAAGACCACTGATAGGCATTGTTATGTAATCCTTTTATTCAACTTTCCATTGACTCAGGAAAGTGCTTTTCACATTTGGCTACCAGGTACCTGCATTTACATGTTTGAACTATTGACAGGTACCGGTAGAGAGAACCTGTTTTCATAAACAAATTGAAATGTGATAGTGGGTTCATCCATTAAAAAGATACCCTGTATATTGTATAAGGGAGTTTACAGATACAATCTGCGCATGGGCAGATAAAGGTCATTCGTACCAAAATGGTAAAACCCACACTGAGATGAATACTGGATATGCGCTCATGAAAGTTATGTAACATTATTCATTTATGCACCAACGGTACATTCTATGATACGCAGTATTCTTTTCAAGAGGTCAAACAAAAGGTATTCATGAATCACATCTAGGACTTTGGCAGTTATTATTCTAAGATGTTCAAAGTGGAACTTCTCCATGTGTAAAAGATCTGTGGATATTTGGGGTCATTTGTACCATGTGCTATCTGTAAACTCCCTTATTGTAATAGATATGAGTTTTTTGTACACTGAAGAGTGCAACATTCTGGGGCAAAAAAGGGCGCAATATATTTGTAGGTGCTTGCACCTTAACACTTGATTCCGTTATCTTCAGGAAAAAGAGAAGGAAAACTTGAATCGATTTCTTTGTAATTTGACAGTATAACGAAGGTAGAATGAATCAAAAGAGAGAAGATTCACTTGAATCTGCAATATATTTCAGGTTGAAATTCTTAATTTTTCACAATTTGTCCACTAACTGAATGATTAACTTTGAGGTTTTTATCATTTTCTTTGATATTGGGTCCAAGCACCAACAAGTTAAGAGCCCTGTAGATCGAGCTCAGAAAAGCTGCTTTATGAAAAAAAAACTGTAAGAAAAATAAAGATAAAATGTAATATCAGCCCCCAAGGAATTCACATTTTCTATAGAAAATATTTTAAAGAGCTTGTGTATACAACTAAATAACAATGATATCAATAGCCACATTTATATTGCATACATATCCATACATAGTACTTTTAGAGGCTATTCATTCAACTTTTGCAATGCACCATTTGAGAATTTTACAAACAATATTCTGTTAAATTCCAGAATAATAGTATTTTCAGGGTGAGAACACCATGACTATGAGTGTTGCACTATTTCTCAGTGTGAGACAGGTTCCTTAATACATCAACCTACTCATAAAGACAGATCTAAAGACAAAGAGGAAATCCACAAGATAGTCCTAGAGAGCAAATCGGCTGCTGAGAGCCAGAAGGGTGTTAACTCTATGCAAAGTGCTGCACAGCAACGCCATTCTAGCTCTCGGCCTACAGGGTATTACACCGTGTGCACCCTCCATTCCATAATTAGTAATTCATGAGGCATGCTTTATAATTCATCGTGGCACATCCTGCTTCATGCAGCGCTAATTCTCCCTGATTCTCCCACCTGCTCTGTGCTGATAAACCAGGGACCCGTTTCACAAAGACAAAAATCAGTGACAAATCTGCTGATAACCAATCAGAAGCAAGGATTTCAGTAGCGTATAACAAAAACTTTCATTTGTCACTGATGACAAGTTTTGTGAAACACCCCCCTATGGACCTGTTTCTCAAAGACTTTTTTCAATGACAAATGACAAAAATCAGTGACAAATCTGCTGATAACCAATCAGAAGCAAGGATTTCAGTAGCTTATAACAAAAACGTTCATTTGTCACTGATGACAAGTTTTGTGAAACGCCCCCCCCCCCTCCCCCAGACGGCAGATAACCTGACAACCAAAAGATGTAGAATGCCCGCCGCCGTGATTGATTCAGTGTACTGTACATGTACATGTGTCAGATCAACAGTTCGATGCTGCTGCCATGACGCATTTGCTTTTTGGGATTAGGCTATTAGGACATGATTGTGAGAGGATTTTGAGCGCTGCTAGGTGACTAACAATGGATGGATGATTGATAAGGCGGAGGAGTGACTCCTCGAGATGGGGAATTGGGAAAGAGATGAAGAGATTTCTTAAGAGATTTACATCTTTATTCCGTCTTTTGCTTCCTCAATGATATAAAAAGCAGAGGGGTATTTCAGGTCAAAATATAATATCTTTAGAATTTAATAGTCTTCTTATTCCAAGCATTTGCATCGAACTTGCTACACGAATACGGGCATTACGTTATAATATAATTACAAGTTTTTAATTGTAAACCAATGGGAGACGCACGTTGGTGCAAGAAAAACACCACATCTACGTTAGATCAGTAATCTTAATTAATATAATTTTTATTTTAACTGAACTTTCATGATCTCTTTTGTATACGCAGTAACTTCAAGATCATGTGTCACAAGGTAGTTAACTCATAGGCTCACTCCTGAACACACAGTTAATGTCCTTGTGGCTCCGAATAAAACAATGTTCATTCCCCTTTCAGTTCCCAAGGAATACTTGTACTAGACCTGTATCTCTTTCATCTCATCTATAAGAGCTCTGTAAATGGTTAACCCTCTCCATTCCTACATACATGTAGCCCTAGGAGAGATATATGTTTGCATTGCATAGGGTGTGGACTTGTTTACCAGTTAGTTCATAGACATACCGGTATATAAATTGTATGTCCATCCGGAAGAAGTTCTCCCGATCAATGCTATAGTCTGAATTCTTGAAGGTATAGGATTTTAGATTCAGGTACAATGTGCAAATGTATATCAATGTGAGTAAAGATTTGCCTCAAAGCCACGAAAGCATGAAAAAAAAATTCTAGGAATTAGTCATATGACACATCCCAAGGTGAGGGTCATTTGCCTCTGACAGTTTCAATGTTGATGTCGTCAAACACCGTTGTCACAGTACAAGAGTCTAAAAATACCTATATTTTATTATCATAGGCTTTGGTCTCAGACAAATGTTATCTGTTGATAAAGAAGTTTGACAAATGTTGACTCAAGTGAATAGAGACACAGTCAAATCAATGTAAATATGAAACTGAATGTGTTTGCATTGATCAATATCTTACTTACATGTTAAATAGTAGCACATACTAAATGTTTTTGTATGTTCACTTCCTCTAGGTGATCAGGTACTTTTGTCTAGACATGATTTGCTTTAGGAAGTTTGTACGAAATCTAAACTACCGGTAAGCAATACAAACACCAGTTTGAACAAGCAGAGAGAGAAAAGAAGAAAGAAGAGGAGTAATTAGTTACTAGTAATTATATATCTGGTAGATTAAGTTTGTGAATGATACCAGGATGTATGTTCCACTTCCAACTTCATAATCTACTAAAATTACCTAAATCTAGTTATCTGGCTCCTTTAGATATTCTGCAATGCCCCCCCCCCTCCCCCAAAATTGTTCACATTCTTCATTTATTAAAACAATGGATAATTTGTACT